TGAGATCACGAGAATCGATGGTTCAGCGGTAGTATATCCGCCTCCAAAACGGGTTGTGCAGCTTCAATTCTATTGCAACACATTTTCAAACTTAGGTGTTAGCTCATTCTTTAAATTTGTACGGTCCAAATTAAAGATGCTTCAATTTTTGTAAGCTTGTGGTTATTAAGTGCAGCAGTTGGTGTTCCCCTACGGCTGAACAATGACCAAAAAAACAAGAGCTAAGCTACAGTAATTAAAAAGTTAAGACATTCTTTTCTGATCAAAAATTTCCTATTTTTTTCCAGAGCATTATGGGAGATGTTCTCAGATACAACAAGGCTAGCAAATACCATCTCATATTGAATGTTCGAGCGAAAACCATCAAAGAGGATGATGGGATATTTTACTACTATTCGGACAAAGTGATGAAGTGGAAGGATGTGCGTTTTTCTCATCATAATCTAATTACCCATGCCAAGTAAAGTATTTCAGTCCACGGATGACGGGAAGAGAAGAGACGATACGATCCACTTCAAGTCCCCTTTCATACCGGGTGAAATATATGTGGGACTGAATGGAAATGATGTGATGTGAATAGAAAATTTAGCGCATTTTCGCTTTTCTTATAATTTTTACAGTTTTATTAAGACATCTAAAAGAAGATAGATCACAACGATTTTGCGACAATTCATTTGCATGGATCCCACAGCATGGAATTTATCGCTTGAATGCTGCCACCCATGAATGGACATACATGTACTACTATCCGGACTACTTATCCGGATATCTCACATGAATAAATGTTTTTTGCGTTTGAAGAAAAATCCCCTACATTTTTGTTTTTGAAATTCTCAGATATCCTACTGGATGAGTACTGCTTAGCCAAATGTGTAAATGATTAATGCTCAAGAAAACCACCATTACTTGAAGTATTCTATCGTAGTTAGTGCCAACTTGGGTGCAAAACATAGAAAAACGCAGTTGCAGAGGGGCTTAAGCATAGTTTCTAAGGAACACCTCTTAAGTAGATGACTTGGCAAAATAATCTATTATGGACAACAAGCATCGCTCTAATACATTCCTTGCTTCCGGAGCAAGAAGTGCGGCAATGGAGAGTTTACGGTACAAAAGATCCTGAAAAGTTGTTTAAAAAGCTGCTCAAGCCTGAATTTGGAAGCGATACGACTTAGGTCAGAAACCTTGCTGCTAAATATGGCATTGAACATAGAACAGCCAGGATATCAGAATTAGCGTCAAGCGTTATGGCGGGAAACCTTTTTTGCGAAGCCTTTTTTTCACACAAATGAGGGCCAATCCTTCGTCCTCCATTTCATCAAAATATTACTTGTGTAGTTTATGCCTTAAAACAACTGTAAAATATTCAGAGGTAGAAATGACATAAAGTGCGTTTGCATTTTTCTTTTCACTATCTCTCTTCCTCCTTTATTCGTCTTCACACCTATAATTAGCCCTCCTCTCTTTTATGAGTCTAGGTGCTGCTAAAGATTCCAGCACCGCATGACATCCAAGTAAGAAGCGCTTTAAGTTTTTATTTTTCTAATGCGTCGCAAAACAATGGTCTACAAAGCAATAAAATATAGTAATGAACGATTTTTTAGATATACCTATCAAAAATTGGAAGCTAAGACAGATACTAGTAATTTGTGAATCAAATTTTAGGGATGAACTACTGACATGGCTGCTTCTTCCTTGCATTAGGACAATTTCTACAATTTTCTAATATCTTCTGTTATTCTCCCTACTAAATGTTGCATCTTCTTTTTGTTGTGCAAAAAAAAAATTCCTTTTCTTGGTCGAATTTGTACGTTAACACCAATTCTTTTTAATATTTATCTTTTTAATGCAATCAATGCTACTTTAAACTAAAAAATTATGGCAATCAATAAATTAAGACGATTCACTGATTTCTACTAAAATGGCATTGATTTTTCTATTTTTGCAAGTTTTCTGAAATACATCAAATATCACACTGTGCGACATGTTCATGTCAGCATCCTTTTTACACCATCAACACCAAATTCTACGTTTTCATCCTGTATACTTAACTTTCCAGCGTTTCCTGTTCTATAGCTGTTTTTCTATCTCAAGTATTCTCTTTTCCTCTTAAAAAAATTTGAAAAGCGGTTAGGTTCAGTAAACACACGAATGCATTATCCTTAAAAGTGACGACCACTTCCATGTACTGGGTGGCGCACAAGGTCGCTGTCGGATGATGAAAAGAGGTCACCACTCGCAGTAACTCTTACGAGAATCGATTTTGGACTAATCCCTTAGTTTATCGATATTCTGCTTTGAAAGAATTTCTCAAAAAATCTAAAAATACATGGTTAATCCATCAAAATTATGTCGTTTCTTGTATCATCGATCGTAGGGCATGTACTCCATGTAAATTTCCACATTTGATCAATAATATGTTGTTTCTCCTTCTGTTTCCTTATATTCTATTGGCTCCTAGTTCCATAATTTATCTGTGGTTTCGATGTTTTCGAGTTTTTCCTTAAAAAGGATTAGTTCGTGCTCTTTGCTTGGTAATTGCGTTCATGGTGTCCCAAATATACCTACCATTTGATCGTCGTTAATCTTTCTTTTTCAAATTTTTTTCCATGAATGTGATATAGATTGAAGGGCGGACCTGATTTATAACATACAAGTTACACCTCTCTCTAGTACGGTAAGTATGGTGAAAATTTTTCGCTGCCGTTCC